CAAAGTCAGAATCAGAATCTTCACTACTGAAAGATGAAATCCTTCTTTTAGCAGCTTGCTTTATTTTGGTAAGCTTTTGGGGGTTGTCATCTGAACTGGAACCTGAACTCTTAGGCTTGATGTGTTTTGTTTTTGCCTTTTTCTTAGTGAAAGGTTCCTGAACAGAAGGCTGATTGCCTAAAGGAAGAGAAAGAAATCTTTGTCAGCACCACGTTTTTAGATCCTTTCTACCAAGAAACACGGATAACAGCTTTGGAAATGCCTGTTCCTAATCAAGGAAGATAACGAAGGTGTACTTCTCAGTTGTTCTACTAGATAGGAATAAAAAAAAACCCAATTCCTGTTTAAGAAAGTATAGTAGAGGATAATTGTTGCAGGTCCCAATTGTTGCAGGTCCCAACTCTGCATATTCCAGTTGGGGGTATCTTTATTGATTTACATGAAGCACTTAACTATATATCTTCCCCAAGAAAAAAAAACAGGAGTGCAAGTTCCTCCATGGAAATTGGAGTATGGCTTCTGACAAAATGAGGACAGGACCAGGGCCTTTCCTTCCATGTATAAACTGTGCAGCCTGTTCCTCTCTTGAATCTAAAAGACCTGATGAGATGTGCTATTTGCCTTGTACGCCCTTATAAGGCTTATTGCAGTCTTTGTTAATGCACATACTCTTCTATCAGCAGCTTAGGGTGAATATAATCATATTACATATAAAATTATAATACAGGGAACATATCCCACAAATTTATTTTACACACATTTAACTAATATTTAATTTAACAATAGGAAAGAATTACTGGGGAATTCTCTCCACTGGCAAACCTCTGTCTCAAGAGTAAAGGCCTAATCGAAAGAGAAAACTCTCTGGTGAATTTATCAACAAGAGATTGTTTCTTGACCATCAAACTGATATAGAGGAGCAGATAGGATGTATATACAAATGACAAACCAGGACAGTGACCTGGAAAATTAATTTTTAGATGTATAAGAGACTTATTAAACCCTTGAAGTAGTCTGTATCACGGGATAAAAACTAATTATAGAGAAATTAAATCATACAGTATTTGAATGATCGAAAAATTAAGGCTCTCAGAAATAAAAGGAACATAAAGGTAAAGGTTTCCTCTGTCCAGTTTTGTCGGACTCTAGAGGGCAGTGCTAATCTCCATTTCTTAGACTAGGGAGACAGCATGGTCCAGAAATAATTCCGTGGTTATTGGCTTACATGACTATAAGCAGGTGCATGGAGTGTAATGTTACCTTCCTGCTAAAGTGGTACCTATTTGTCTGCTAACATGTTTTTGAACAGCAGTTGAGTAGGAACTGGGTTGAATAACAGGGGTTGAGTAGGAACTGGGTTGAATAACAGGGGTTCATCCTGTCACATGGTGCTCGGGTCTCAAAACTGGGCTGTCAGCTTTCTTTGACTGCTAAGCCAGCACAAGCCCGAAAAAAAAATAAAGTTGGTTTATTGTATCCAATTTAAAATAAAACTTTTTTTTTTGGCGAAGTACTGGCAGTTTTTATGGACTTTTGCCAACACCAGGACTGAAAAGATGTTTTCTAAATTTGCCCATACGGGAATGGAATGAAGAAATATCCTTCTATAACTTTATAGGTGGTGAAGAAATACTAAATTTGTCCATACTTCTTGTAACGAAGATTGAAAGTCACTTTTGAATATATTTTTATTTTTCTTTATCACATCCTTTTTACTTCTTTTTCTTGCACTTTTTATTCTTTAGTATTTTTAAGTTCAATTTGTATTAACTTTTACTGTTGCAATCAACATTTTTAAATAAAATGTTACACACACACAGATGCCAAAACAACAATTCTCCTGCTACTAGATACAAGAAAAAACATTGTGAAAAAGAATGAATAATATTGGAAAAAATGCTTCCAATGAAATGCCTTCTAGACCTTGTTTTTACAGAGGTTGCAAAGCAAAAGGACAATGTAGAGAACAACCACACACATAAAAAATGGGTTGATTGCCCTTTTGTTTGTACACTGGATTTTAAAGGGGATTTTTTTGGGGGGAAGCATTGCTCTCGCTGACTGGAATGTTAATGACTAATAGCTCATAGGAAAAATGTGGAAAAATCAAAACTTCAGAATCTGAGAAACATCTGATATTCATGATGTTTCAATTTTTTGTGTCACATTTGAGTTGAGTGGGGAAAACAATTGTTCTAAAAATGCTTCAAGAATTAGTGGAGGTAAAAAATACAGGTAGTCCTTGACTTACATTTCATTTAGTGACTGTTCAAAGTTACAACAGCACTAAAAAAAAGTGACTTATGACTGTATTTCATACTCATTGCAGCATCCTATAGTCATGTGGTCAAAATTCAGGTGCTTGGCAACTAATATTTGCAATGTCACTTTGTTATGTGATTCCCTTTTGTGGCCTTCTGACAAGCAAAGTCAATGGGGTAGCCAGATTCATTAAACACCCATGTTACTAAATTAACAACTGCAGTAACGATTACGCTTAACAAATATGGCAAGAAAGATAATAAAATAGAGAAAAACCCACTTAACTATCTCACTTAGTAACAAAAACTTTGGGCTCAGTTGTGGCCATAAATTGAGGACCACCTGTATTTTGAACCAATCCGTAATCTTTATATTGTTTAAACTAAGATAATCCATGATGACTACTGCTACAACTACAGAACCTAACAGGGTGCCTTGTTACAACATTAGTTATACACAGCAGACATATTACAGACTCAGTTGTGTAGCATAACACCTAGGGTAGGACCTTGCATTAAAAATGGGAATGGACTGAGGAATGAATGCTGGTTTTTATAGGCTAAACAGAGATTATGATACAAGTGAATTATAGACTCACCCAAACTACTGCTCGGTACTTCTGATGATTTGAACCTCACTTCCTTTTGTTTCCTAGAACATAAATTCTGTATTAAATTATGCATTTACTTTGCATCGGAGCCAATACATGCCCATAGATATTTCTAACTGGGGAAAAAATTAAAACTTTACCAAGAGATTGTAATTAATTGTAGGATTGATTTGCTCAAATGTTGAGATTTGCTCCATTTTAAAATTATTTTCTTTTTCAAAACTTGCACCACTGCCCCCAAAATAAAAGCAATGCAATAATAGTGCATGGCTTAGGAGGATCTATTGGTCCTCCGATAGGACTGATCTATAGGGCCTATCGCAGCCTTAGGAAAGATTGATCAACTGTACGTCCAGTATGCCAAGGAGGTGTCTAACTGCCTTCTGAAGTGTAAGAGTTTGCTGGGTTCACCTGTTGTAACATCTCCCTTGTTGGTACATCTGGCAGTAAAGCCCTTTTAAAATTTCTGACTGACCTCACATGGATGAGAAAGTTCCAACCAAGAGCGAATGTGGCCTGGGGGCCTTATGCTGCCTAGGTCTAATGTAGATCGTACAAGTCAAAAAGTGCAAGTAACCTGACCTTGTACGTAAGGCAGTTTTATTAACTTTTTTTTTAAAGAAAAAATTATTTCTGATCTTGTCAGTATTTCTATGTAAGAACACCCTCCCCCCCAATGAAATATAACAAATCTGTGCAAAAACTATTTTCTCAATTCTGACTAATTTGAAAATCCAGGCAAATATTTTTTAAGAAACAGCCAAAATAGGAGAATCACATCTACATTCTGGAGAAACTTACGCAGGAATAGCCTTTGGTTTTATTATATTTTTCAAACAGGCTTCAGCCAAAGCAGCTTCATCCGTATCTGAATTAGAATCTTGCATACATGTTGCTTTTGCCAAATATAATAGAAAAAGAAAAGATCAGCTGCAGCCCAAAAATGTGAGACGAAGGCAGGCTAAACAACAATACAGGTAGTCCACAATTTACCACAGTTCATTTAGTGACCGTTCAGTTACAACAGCACTGAAAAAAAGTGACATGGTCATTTTTCACGCTTACGATTGTAATGCCCTCTTGATCATGTGATCAAAGTTCAGTTGCTTTACAACTGGTTCATACTTACGACGATTGCAGTGTTCCGGGATCATATGATCAGCTTTTGTGACCTTCTAACAAGCTAACTCAAGTGAACCCAGGTTCACTTAACAACCACTTAACAACATAAGTTAATAACTGTGGCAAGAAAGATTATAAAACGGGGTGAAACTCATTTAATCAATTTTTGGCTTAGCAACATAAATTTTGGGCTAAATTGTGGTCGTACGTTGAGGACTGGCTATATATTCTTAAGCAATAGGAAATATAGAGAATGAGGGAAATGTTTTGTTCCAATCACAGCATAAACAATTGCATTGTGAAACTTTTGCTGAACTGTTTAAGCCATCCATAGTTTGAAATTATAAAAACAAAATCTGGACAGGATAAGTAAATCAAAGCTGATGTACCTAGTCTTCACTCTCCATTCCACTTTCCAAATCAATTTATTCCATTGGTGAGCTGGGACACCCCCTTTATCTATTTAGTTGCTGTTGCCTTTAGCTTTCTCCCATTCTCTCTCTTTCCGCCCCACTTTTATCTGGGCCACAAATAGCTGTTTGTGCATGGATCAAAACAGCTGTGCTTTAATTCAAGCATAGGACGCCTAGAAACCTTGTACAGTTTAATTTCTGCATGCACCATTTTGTATAACCTTACTAGGAACTGTGGATTAGAATGATTTTAAAAAATAAATAATCTTCTTTCCCAAAGGTTCCACTTCATGTTTGAGGTTATTCATAGCAAAAATGCTTTAGAACAGGGTTGTCGAATTTGATTTCATCGAGAGCTGCATTGACCTGGTGTGGGGAGTCAGATCAACACCACTCGTATCAGGGGCCTGTGTGCCTGATTGCTCTGCCAGCAAAAACGGGCGCCTGAGCTCCATTTTGGGCTGTGATGGCCTCCTGCAACCCTCTGCCAGTGAAAATAGAGTCGGGAGGGCTGCACACAGCCCTATTTTTGCAGGGTGAGATCTAAGCATCTCGAGTTAAGATTCTGCATGCAACGAGCTAATCTTAAGTTCTTTGAAAATGTACCTGTCACTTGGTGGTGTTGCGCATAAGATTCTAGCTCAGAGTCATTAGAGCCATTTCCATCTTCTGAGTCAGACCAAGGATTTACTGTCATTGCTTTTTTTATTGGCTTGAACAACAGTTTTGACTGTGTCTTTACACCTGAAATTTAGCAGACTTGTTGGCCACAGAAAACATAAACTCGCAGGAAAATTTGATTCCTGCTAAAAAAAATTTTTTTACCTGAGTCCATTTTCAGTTTCTTCATCAATCTTTGTTTAAGATTTATCGGTTCCTTGCTGGTCCCTGGGAGATCTTGATTCTCGTCAAGCTCAATTTTTTCAGTCTATAGATCAGCAAATGTGAAAGAGAGTTTATCATTACTGGGGACAGGTAAAAGAAAGTTATGAAACTAGTGAAGAAAACTGAATACATATACCCCTCCAAAGACTGTTTACCTTGATTTTTCTTTTTAATTTCTTCTCTGCCTCCAATTTCATCTCATTGGTTATTCGGGGGATAACTCTCCTCCCTTGGGGAGAAGGGAGGATTTCCTGGAGCTGAAGGGTTTTTGCTTTTGCTTTCCCTCCTTTCCCTTTTCTGGGCTTGCCTGGGATTCCTAACATCTCATCCTGTTTTTCTTTTGCTTCTAACACCTAAAGTGTGCATAATAAAAACAAAAACTAATAGTTTGTAATGTTTGGATTTGCAAGTGTGAAATTTCACCAAAAGAAAATCATCTTATTTGAGGGTTGGGGTATTTCTGCTTTAGCATCAATCTGCACTTCTACACAAATGGAAGAGAAGAATTCTATATTCAAATCTGAAATAGGTAGCAATCTTTGCATGCATTAAGAGAGCTCACGTCACTGGAATTTCAGGGCTATGCGTACATCTGAGCTTTGGTCGCTCTGTATGTTTGCTTTAAAACATACCAATAGTCACAACGTTTCAGTCCCTCTTTTTAAATGCCAGCACCTTACCCAAATGAAGACACAGAACTATTGATAAGCAATGTTTCACTTAAAGTGGAAGTTGACTGTATCTGGCCCCCAAATCCAAGTTTACTCACATCAAGTTCCCGAATGAAAGCAGCCATATCTTCTCGCCACAAGTCAGTAGGATCCTTCTGTTTCAGGTTTTCTAACTCTGTTTCCTAATAAAGCCAGCAAGAAACAGTTACGTCCATATTTGACCTTTCAATACTAGTGTACAAGTATTTTTTTTTTAAAAAAAAAGCTCATCCACCTACTTTATTATCCCGCTGCTTACACAATTCATCCTTTTTTTCTTTTGTTAGGTACCAGAGGGGCATGTTCAGAAGGTAGTTAAAATCTGGCCCACTGGCTGCTGCAGTCGATTCATTTTCTTTATCAGTATCTTCTTCTGCATTTTCATCAATGTCCTGACATGGCAGAAGAGAGATGTGACCAGGGTTAATAGCATAATATAGTAATAGTACTTAGTACTTGTCCTTTCAAGGGGATCAGGAGATAACCCATTCCTTTCTCTCAGTACTTTCCTTTAGAGCACCTACAGTATCTGCTTCAGAAAGCCAGTGTTTGGCATGAAGATCTATTTTCCACTATAATAATATGGAATTTTAAAGAGATTTTTTCTAAATTATTGACCCAAACCCTTAACAATTGAGTAATTAAAAAGAAGAGACTGAAAACCATACCTTCTGTTGAGATTCTTTCCATGACTTTACTGGATCAGAATCATAACCCCTTTCAATGAGAACCTGTATTAATTCTTTCTTGGGCTTGTTCTCTAGAGAGGAAGACCACCAAGAACAGATGAGCCAGCAGCCAAAATAAAGTGTCATATTTAGCACCAAGCTAAGAACATGTCAACTTGCTATGCCACAAACACAAAAGCCACACCAAAATTTTGGAATTACTCTTAATGGAAAGCAGAAAAATAAATACTCATATGTTTAGCACTTCAAGTTGTACATTCAGTTTAAATTTTATTGTGTAGATTATTTAAATTTTTATTTCTAGAAAAGTAAGCTTAGAGGAAAGATGCCTGTCAGGGGAGATAATTCTTTGTTAGATGTTGGCTTTTATTCTCTCCATTCTAACCCAGAAAGGGAAGCTAGGAACTATTTCTGTAATACTTGTTCTACTTTTAATGGCTTGTAACAAAATCCTAACAGTGCTTACCTATCACTATTTTCCCTTCTATTTTTTCAAGGATGAAGCGAGCTTGGTTGTTTAGTTTTGCAGATTCTGCACCCAGCATGCCAGCGAGCCACTCTTTTCTTAAACCATAATAACGCAGTCTGACTTGATAGAATTCGTCTAGAATATCCTCTGCAGTCTCATATTTTTTAAGGCAGCCTGCATGGTCAAAAAGTACCTGAAACAAAGGGTAAGGTACCACAGATCTATAGATAGCAGGGCTGTGATCATGCATTTAAAAGCTGGATACAATTCCTTTAATGATTCCATGCAGAACATTACATTACATGGTCCAATCCTACTCACCTCCATTTCTCACTATGGTATTTTGATACTTTAAAGGAATTGTACATGCCTGGTTTCTAAAACAGGCCCTTACAATCAAGAGGCAAGAGCAAAAAAGCTTTCAGAATTTGGAAAAAAAGTAGCTCTTCCTAATGTAGCAGAAATCACATAAATAGCTAAAAAAAGTAATAAGACAGGCCTGGTTAAATCTATTAGCAAAACTGATTTTCTATTTCTCTAGTCTTAACTGAGAATTTGGACTCTGAAGATTTCAGTTAAAAACTGAAGATTTTTGTAGAAACCTTGCCACAAAAGGATTCTATTCTGAGACTCTGAGTCTTAGCTGAATGAATGGAAATGGCTCCCAGAAAGCATTATCCCTTGTTCTATAATTTAGATTTATGAGTGAACAACAGTTTAGTCAAATAAGTGATTAATAATTGATAAGAATGTACACATATATATTAGACTGATAATGTGAGAATTTATACGAATGATAAGTGATGACTATGGAAAGGAAGCACAAAAGATTTGTAACCAACCGACATACTATATGCATGTAATTTGATGGTTTTATGTTTTGTTTTGGTAAGTCTGTCCTAAAAAAATAAAAGTTGTTTGGAAAAAAAAGAATTTATTTGTTTAAAAGATGTATATGGTCTGTATATGTGTGATTGTGCATGTAAGAGAGACAGACAGACAGATTCTCTAGGTATGCCTATCTTGCTACGAAAATGGAAGTCTTCTGAATTTTTACTTACCATATTGCTACAAGAAAGAGGACTTTGTAATTTGAAGACTTTATGTAGACCAATAGCCTCTGCCTCCACTAGTTTCTGTTCACTCATTGTTATGATGAATTTGACAGTGGTGTCCGTGTGGTACTCTTTATAGTCTGTTATGAGTGATGGAGTCTTCTCTGTGCCAGTCAGCATAGGCTCCAGAACCTGTTCTTTGTAAGTCTTTTGATAGATGGGAAGAAACAACATAAAATGATTTTATATTTTCCTTTGATTGGGGAGTTCAGAAACATATTTGCTATTAAGGCTCAGAGAGCATAGTACAAAAACAGAACATGCCTTACCTGTGTCCATGTCCGAACAGGAAGCTCTGAAATTTCAATGGTGGTTGAATTAAGAACAGATATCTCTCCATTGATAATGAAATGATTTTGTCCTAGTTCATCTATTGTCCCCTTGAAATACTTGTAACTAGGAATCTAAAAATATTAGAAGCTGTATTAAAATAAACCACCCTGAACATGTGTTTTGTTTGCATAATATAATCAGAATCCAAATGGATTAAGATAATTTCAACGAAGGTTCTGAAAATAGGAGTAAGAGGTTGTAGAGAAAAGGTCATAAATGGTTTTATGAAAAGCAGTACAAAAATCTCCAGTATAGAGATAATATTTATTGACTTCATATTGTTTTCTTTTAAAGAAAGTGTCATTTTAAATGCTATAGGCAATTTTTAAAAGAATTTAAATGGTATGCTTCCAAAGTCCAACTCGTAAAGAAAATCTAATTGTGTCTTTGTCCATGCACCTGTGATTCTTTTTTCTCTTCTCTAAAATTACCAGATCATTTTTATTTAATTATTGATGTAATTTATTACCATTCTTAATGGCTCATCTCCATCAAGCATACGTCGAATGTTATTGACCACTTCTCGAATGTCATAATTAGGAACTTTACATGACCAGCCAGTCCCAATGCCTTCAGCACCATTGATCAGCACCATAGGAATGATTGGAATATACCATTCAGGTTCAACTCGTTGGTTATCATCGTACAGAAATTTTAGCACGTTGTTATCCACTTCTGGGAAAGCCAATCGTGCCAAAGGACTAGGAAAAATAAGAAGCTTAAATTAAAATTGTGTTAAATAATTCTAGAAATAAGGATAGGGTTATGGGGTCTTCGTTACAAATGAAGAGAAATAAGGAAGAAAAGAAATAGCCAGAGGATGATGGCAAGGAAGTGAAGAAATGGCAATAACTTTCTGTAATCTCGACTTCCCTTTTTAAAGCCATAAGAGAAAAAGAAATGTAAAGGAGGGTTGTGGGGAAGGGGAGAACCCAATACCAGGAAAATTCTGCCTCTTGAAAGCCAACCCAAATGTAGTTTCTTCACTACCACAGACAATGCACATGTTGACCACAGAGAAGAAAAGTTAAGCTTTCCTTTTGGACTCTTTTTACTGACAGAGAAGGAAATCTTGCTATATCTCTTTGCGGCCCTATCAATGTATAGGTTCAGACACGTATTACCAATAAAGTACAATAATGTGATACAGAAATATAATTTGATGCCATTTTATTTTATTTAACATATTTATGTATTAAATTATTGTATTATATCCTATAACTATATTTTATTCTACAACTATTGTATATAACCCTTCTCACTTCTGCTTCTGGCTGCACGCAAGGAAAGCAGCAAAAAATTTTCTTCCTCTCCTCCCAAACTCTGCCAGAAATGAGTCTTTGGGACCCCGCAAGGCCTCCTACTCCAAAGACGCTGCTCCAAGATTCATTTCTGGCGGAGTTTGGGGGAGAGAGAGAAAGACTTCTGCTGCTTCCCTTGCATGAAGCCAACTCTCTCCTCTCTCTCGCTAAGAACGGAGCTGGGGACGGTATCCTGTGATCCCAAATAAAGAACGATCGATTGGTCGGAAAACGGAGTGGGGTTTTCCTGCAGACTTTTGGGGGGATTTTCCCAGATCTCTGCTGCTTTCTGCAGAGACGCTGGGAAAACGTCAGCAAGCCACCATCAGACAAAATTCATATTAGTGGTCCACAGGATTTAAAATTATGAGTTTGATTGTCCCTGAGGCCCAAAAGGTTGGCGACCTCCGGTTTAGTTAGTAACATGGGTTAAGTGAATCTAGCTTCCCCATTGACTTTGCTTGTCAGAAAGTTGAACACATGCCTGACTGTCATAAATATGAGTCAGTTGTCAAGCATCTGAATTCTGATTATGTGACCATTGAGATGCTGCAATGATCATAATAGAGATATAAGTCACTTTTTAAAGTAACTTTGAATAGTTACTAAATAAATGGTTGTAAGTTGACGACTTACTGTACACTAAGTTAGAAAGGAGTGTCTGAGTCAACTCTAAGAAAAGCAACCTGCTTCTACCAACCTGAGCATTGTAAAGATATATCTAGGGCTTGCAGCATCTTTTCCACCATGCAGCCTAGTTCCAAACTGACCAATGGGTTGCTATATCTTGCTATATCTCTTTGCGGCCCTATCAATGTATAGGTTCAAACACGTATTACCAGTTAAGTACAATAATGTGATACAGAAATATAATTTTATGCC